AAATCCATAGCTTTAAGTAAATTAAGAAGAAGAAGAAGAAGAAGAAGAAGAGATTGGATTTATACCCCGCCCTTCACTTGGCGTCTCAGAGCGGCTTACAAACTCCTTTCCCTTCCCCTCCCTACAACAGACACCCTGTGAGGTGGGTGGGGCTGAGAGAACTCTGACACAAACTGCTCTTTTTCAAGGACAGCTGTGCCAGAGCTTGTGACTGACCCAAGGTCACATCAGCAGGTCCAAGTGGAGGAGTGGGGAATCAAACCCGGTTCTCCCAGATCAGAGTCCGCACACTTAACCACTACACCAAACTGGCTCTCACACCAAACTGGTTTAAGATTATTACAACTGTCTAAACACAGGCTTATAAGGGACAGTTTAATGAAAATATGAAAACACAGTATGAATGTGGTTTATTAACCACAGTAATTCTTAACTAGGGTTTCATATGATGTATGGATATAGGTAGCCTCACTTAATCCTGGTGTTCCCATTGAGGATTTTCAATCAAAATGACCATGGTTAGTGTGATCATCCATACATGGGCCACTTCATTAACTATGCTTAGTACATCAAATCAGGATGTGAAACCATGGTTGGTGGATTAACCAGAGTTCACCTTAACTACATTTTCATATGACATATAAATGCAGACACCCTTCCCACAGCCACCTATGCCACAGTGCAGTTGGGTCTTTACAGGAGTGGTGGAAGAAACAGTGAAAACAACAATACCTGCATATGCAGAGGCAAAGCAAGAATTCAGTGATCAAGTACAAGCTGAGTCCTTTTTAAAATAAATGTTTATTTTTAAAAATGTTAAAATGGAATGGGGTTTTGTTGTTGTTTTCTTATGGAGTTCTCAGTTCATAAACATTTGTCACTGTATGTAGAATCAGAGCCACTACATGGCAAATCTAGAATGGCTCACTTCTTAGCCTTGATATACACTCCCTTCTTTGACAGTCCACAGGCTGGAAGCATGGTTTTGGAACGGTTTGGAAGAATTGTGGCTCAGGATCAGAGCCCATGGTCTGCATGCAGAAAGTCTAAGGCTTAATTTCTGACATTCACAGCAATGCTGATTCTGTGAACTTAGACAGATCATGAGAGGGAGGGCAGGAAGGTTTGCATCAGTTCTTGTGGCTCTTTCTTACATGCCCAGGGAAATGCTGATCGCCACTCTGGGGTCAGGAAGCAATTCTTCTCCAGGCCAGTGTGGCCAGGGATCCTGGAGGGTATTTTGTCATCATCTGGGCATCGAACATGGGTCACTGGGGGTGTAGAGGCGGAGCTATTTTTGAATTTCCTCCACTGTGCAGGGGATCGGACTAGATGACCCTGCAGGGGGTTGGACTAGATGACCCTGGTAGTACATTCCAACTGTATGATTCTATGATTTTAGTTTTAAGGACCTCAGGGAGCCTTTGTTTGCTTGAGGTACTGGGGAGCTGCTACCAGTCAGAGTAGGCAATACCAAACTAAATGGATCTGTGGCCTGACACAGAAGAAGGTACCTTCATATATATTCAACAAGCCACAAATAGACTGGCTGCAAAGGTTGATTCATCTAGCCATAAGTAGTATGGGCACTGGAGACAGAGCACTATGTGCAAATCAGCAATTTAACAATAAGTTTATTTTTCTTTATGAGAGAGATTGTAGACTCACATTTTACTATACCTAGATTAAAGCTCAATGCAGCCACCAAATAAAACTGCTTTTGGATTTAATTTCTGTCACCCCTGCAATCTGTATTTGGTTAACAACATTACTTACTGACTGTACAAGATGGTTGGTGTTAAAAGGAATTCCTCCCACTGTTAGGTGTAGCTGATATAGTCCTTTGTCCAGAATAAACAGATTTCCTGAGACAGCTATCTTCATAACTGCATCCTGATTGACTTTTATAACCAAACTTCTCTCTAGTTCTTCAACAGATATCTGAAAGAGGGGAAAAATTTGCCAGTGGGATCAGGGAGAAGTATTATTGCATGATATACCTGCAGCCATAAGAGAGAGCTGTTCTACTTGATAAACCACCCTTGGTTGCCTGAAATTTAGAATCCCTAATGCAATCACATTACATGAGGGTTATATTAAGGTTACCATGAACTGGATGGCCCATCTTAACCTGATCTTATCAGCTCTTGGAAGCTAAGCAGGGTTGGCCCTGGTTAGTACTTGGATGGGAGATCACCAAGGAAGTCCAGAGTCACAACACAGAACCAGCCAATGGCAAACCACCTGTTTGTCTCTCGCCTTGAAAACCTTACAGGGTCACCATAAGTCGGCTGTGACTTGACTTCACTTTCCAACAGTACATCAGGGTTGCATCTGAGCCATTCTTACTTTTGAGATTCTAGTGTAGCAATTGCTCATGTATTTTACAGATTTTTATTCACCACAACCAGGGACAGAAAACTGTTTTTATATATAAAAAGACTGATCAGTGGCTGAAGATCTCACCAAGAGATCTGTGCCATCTAGTGTAATGGTTCAAGGTGCTTAAAAAAAAAAAGATTTCCTGATTGTAAAAACAATGCTGTCCTATAATTTGCCCCGCAGCAAGTGAACTCATAATGCTTTTCGGGGATGTTAATAATGTGTCATTTTCATACAATATGGGTCATGGCACATGAAATTATAACAAATAACCAGTACCTAATTCTATAAAGTTTTTTTAAAAGTGGTAGCAATAGTGCATTTGTAGGGAGAGATAATCTCCCAGGTTTATCCAACGTTTTGAAAGGGGGAGAAGAAACCAGTAAATTCAAGCTAAAAAATACCAAGGCTGGATGTCTGAGAAGAGGTATGGTAAGTAATGTAACTCAATGAATTCTAGTTGGATAATATAAGAATCTGCTAATTCCTTTGTTGTAAGAGCACATAGGATTCATGCGCAAGATCTAATTCTACCTTTCTTACTTTTATTCTAATCCTAAATCTCAACCTATAAGAATGATAAAGAATTGTAAGTTCATTGATCCTTGAACATGAGCCACAAATCATCAAGAACACTGAACCTAAAAGAACAATTTCTGGCAGAGAAAAGAGGATTAATGAGGATTAAAACTACTGCCCAGTCTATCAGAAAAACTCTTGCAATTAAATCAAATTACAGATTAATTACATTTATAGCCCACATTACTCAAATTCAATGAACAAGTATTACAGGTACACAAATATAGAAGTCATAAACACACCATATGATCACAGCATCTACCTTACAATCTGCTTACTTTTCCCATCAACGGAGGAAAAATCTGGAACTGATTGTAGTGAATGGTTTTAGGAAAGTTGATTACTTCATAGTGAGGTTTTTTTGGTCAACAAATACATTATGTAATCTCGGAATTTTGGACTGGCTGTTGCAACTGACAAACCAGTGCATACTAACAGTGTATTTGGATATTTTTCACAGTAGATTTAACTATTCTCAAATAAGTATATTTAGCCAATACATTATCTTCAGGTTTTGTGAAGTTCTTCTCCAGCGTTCCACTTAATGCAGAAAATTACTTATTTTAGTGAGAGTGAAAGAGCTAAGTAAGCAGTACAGAAGAAGTGTTTTATACATGAATTCCTTATCACATTAAATACAACTTCCCTTTAAATGAGAGCTTCTTTGTTTTGGTAAGGAATACATTTGCATTGCATACAACAATATTCAAGAACATCCCCCAATTTCAGTTTGTAAGCAGGCTGCTGTTCTAAGCATCTTAAGTCAGCAATTAACACTAAGTTACAGAGAAATAAACTGTTGTTGATTCATAAACATTACATCTCCAGACAGCTACCTTCTGAGAAAAGCAAAATGCTCCATGCAAAGTTTTGGAGGTGTGGATTTTAAGAGTTATGAAAAGCAGCCTATAATAACAATGCTCACCGTCTGCCACATTCCATGGTTGATAATTGGCCCACTGCTGGTGACACGGCCTATTCCATTGTACTTCAGCTGCAGTTCTAACCGGCCATTGCGCAAAGCCAAGACTATCCATGTACCATCTTTATGGCCTCCAGCAAAAAAAATAATGCCTTCAGGATCAAAGGTTCTAAAGTCAAACTCAGCCACAAGTCTGAACACATGGATGACAAGAAACATATTAAAATTATGCAGTGTTTCAGTAAGAAAAAAATACAGTGTATTTACTATATAGCTGCTGTCAATTTGAACCCTTAAGAACTACCTTTAGTAATATAGTAGTATAGAAATAATCTATACATTATTGGAAACAGCAGAAATTGATAAATTAACTTTACAACTACAAGACAAGAAAGAAGAAACCTTTGAGAAGAACTGGTCAGGACTTTATCAATAGACTGAGGATTATCTCAGAAAACCTACAATATGATATTTTAAATATAAGCTCTATTTGTTAAATGGTTAAACTGAGCTAGGTGTATAACAGAATGATTCCACTTATGCAAAATTTAAGTAGTTACAATGGAGCACAGACTATATTTGTTGTATGTTAGTTTTTCTCTGTTTGTAGTTGTTGTGTCCTTTCCTTTCTCTTTTGAAAAACTAATAAAACTTTTCTTTTTCTTAAAAAAGAAAACTAATAAAAAAGAAAACTAATAAAAAAGAAAACTAATAAAAAAAGAAAACTAATAAAACTGTTCTTTTTTTAAAAAAAGAAGAAGAAAAGAACTGCCTTTAATTTCTGTTGTATATGATAAATGAATGGCATATAATTAGGGTTGCCTGCTCTGGGATGAGAAATATCTGGAGATTTTGGGGGTGGAGCCTGAGGAGGGCAGGGATTGGGGAGGGATTTCAACAGGATATAATGCCAGAGAGTCCACCTTCCAAAGCGACCATTTTCTCCAGGTGAACCAATCTCTGTCCCCTAGACATCAGCTGTAATCCCAGGAGATCTCCAGCCACCACCTGGAGGTTGGAAACTCTCCATACAATCAATATGTATAGCTAGAAATATCAATGTTATAAGCATACTTTTTGGTAGAGGAGAAGGTTTTTCAAAAAGTATATATAAAAAGCCAAGTTCCCTCAAAGATCACAAATAATCTTCCTAGTCTCGAGTCCAGTAGCTCCTTAGAGACCGACAACATTTTTGAGGGTAATAACCTTAAGAGAGTCAAAGGTCCTTTTGCCATATACCAATAATCCCGCCACTTCAGACAAGAGAGAATTTAAATCCACGTTTGCCAAAAATTGTGGACAGTGTCAATCAATTTTCTGAGAATGAAGAATTATGCTAGTATACGGGGGGGGGGGGGGGGGAGATTTGGAAGCCATTCCAGAAAGGGATGAAAAAGATTCCCAACATTTATTAAAGGAATCCTTGGGAAATTACAAGTTAGGAGCAGCATGAAGAGAAGAGAGACGGTGACAAAGAATGTAGAAGAGATAAAGGAAGCATGGGGGTGGGTGTATGGTTCCATCCTGCACTCATCCTGACTGGCTCTCTCCACCCACTGCAAGTGATTGCCAGCTACCCCTTGTGCTGCCATGATTTTCGAAGACTTGTTTTATTTTGTTTTTTAAATCCCCAGAGGGATATTTTTAATTATTTTTAATTATTTTTATAAGACTACAAAACTACAAAGAAATATAAGGGAAGGGGATTACATCTAAGGATAAAGGATAGATAACCACGCTACACTAAAAACTCAAGAGGAGGAGATCATATCCGTGTTAATCTAAGTGTTATTAATAAAAGTGTTAGTACAACAATATACTTGTAGAGTTCTTGTTTGTCTCGGCTTCAATGTTAGTATGTTAGTTGTTGTGAGAGAACTTTCTGAGCATCTTCTTGTTATTTGCTTCAAGAGGCAATTTCCAGAGTCCTTCTGCCTTTACTTCGGTTTTCTATCTCTGAAATCATATGTAACTTTCATTGCGCCTGCTCCCGTTTCTACAGCAGAGTCCTCATCCATTCCAGAGGTAGCAGAGTCACTTGATTTCGATTCTTCATCTTTGGGTTCTTCTTCCAATCCCAACTGACGTCTCAAAAGTTCTTTGGCTTTAAAAATGGAGTCAATCTTTTCTCTCTTGTCGTTGATTTTAAAGATGACACCCTCTGGGATCGCGCACCTGTACGAAATTCCATTGGTTTGAAGAAAGGAAATTAAGTCCTTGTAGCTTTTCCTCTTTTGATGAATTTCAAATGGAATGTCTTTTAAAGTTTTAATGATTATATTCCCCATTTTCAGTGGTGTTGCTGAAGTCACTTTTAAAATAGCATCTCTGGTCTGTCTTCTTGAGAAT